AATTATTAGTGTTAGAGAGCTTCCCTAATAGGCTGAGATCTAAGTTTTAATAAAGTTTGACTGTGAAAGCGTTTTATCTTAGTTAGAGGGTGTTTATAACTGCTAGGCTGGTGGTGTTAAGGGATTAGTTGTAGGAGGTGTAGGCGTTTATATATATATATATTAAGTTTCCCAATTATATAATTTAGGTGTTATAGTAAAATACTAGCTCTATAGAAGGTAGATTTAATATTTTTATTTATAAAGATCTTATTATAGGCCTTATAGAAGGTAATAAAGAACTTGGACTTTATGTAAGGGGCTGGCCCCTAGGCTTGTTCAACGTAGAGGTGCCGTCGATTGACTATTCTAAGCTGAAGAAGGAAGAAAGGACTTTACAAGAGTAGGCACCTAACAGCGGTGAAGCAGGCCGGGTTAGGCGGCGTACTGCGGCAGAATAGTGGGTCCAACGGAGCCGGATCTCGGTAACTGCTCCGGCGAAGCCGGAGATATCAATCCGGGCTCTAGCCCGTGACACTTTATAATATGGTTAATGGAGGATTTAATGAATAGGTTGATTTCGTCTTTATATATATGTTTTAAAGGTGAGTATAACGTAATATCTAATAGTTAGAGTAAGTGAGATAAATATAGAGGCATACTAATAGTTATAATATTGTTCTGCTTATAGTATTTATTGAATTTAGCTGATAAATAGCTTTCATGTCTATTGATTATAAGTATTTAATAGATATCTTTTATGTAAGCCTAAGTATGCTTTTTGAAATGCTTAATTTAGTCTAGGCTAGTTTTATTATTAGTCTATCTATTAGTAGTTAGTTTAATCACCTAGTCGCCTAGAAAGCCTGATTCTATTAACTAGTTAGTAAGGTGATAGGACCTTCAAATAATCATAAAAGGTGGGATATATTATCCCCTTAAATTAATGCACTTAATAACTATAGCCTATTTATAGTTGCTAGACTGGATAGATTTCGCTTTTCCATATCTATTAGCATACATAACAACTATTAAACCAGTAATAACACCTATTATAAAGCTAGTCTTATTAAAGTTATATAGGTCCTTATTATTAATACTATATTTAGCTATCATGTTACCTAATAATGCAAACCACTTCAAAATAACCTCTAGGTCCTCTTAAAGTACCCTTTAATAATTATATGGACGATTAAATATAGTCTTTAGAGTTAGCTATAAGTTAATAAACCTCTCAGCCTAATACTTCCTAATAGGCATCTTATTCTGCGTCCACAGCAGGAGATTCGCTATATCTTCCACACTAGCAAGTTGCAGGGGAAATCCTCTAGAATCCTGCTTAATAACATATTAGAGAAGTGTTTTCTCTTTAATTAGATTAAGTTTATATCGTTAGGGCTAGATATAGTTATAGCGTAGTTAATTATTTATTCTATTGCATAAGGTATTTTTAGGGATACTATATATCTTTACAGCGCCTTGCGTACTAAGTTTATGACCTAGAGCATGTGTTGATTGGATTGCCTTAATAGTAAGAATGATCTTATCTTCTTGGGTGTAAATCGGCATTGCGGTTGTTGAGATATTATGCGTCAAAGGTTTAAGTGGCTGGGAACAAAGCGCGTCATGGAAAAAGTGCGCGGCTGACTGATATGCGCGGCTGACTGGTAAAGTATGTTATATAATTAAAATCTCTTGTTTTCTGAAATTATTTTTTATTATATTATTAGCTTATTTCTATATACTTAGAAGGTTAAACATTAAATTAGAAAATGATTTAAATCTTAGTTTTTTTCTAATCATATAATGTATAATTTTAGTTAGTATTACTATATATTTACTCATCTTTAAATAAAACTTTAATTTATTAAACTGTATATTATGTATAATAATCACGTTTTTAAATATAAGTATTTCAATCTTATATAAGTTATATATATTATTAATATATTTAACTACGTATCTAATATATCTTTATAGAAATACTTTATAATATATTTTCCTTAATTTCTTTTCTTATTCTTTTTTAAATAAATATATATAATAACTATATATAACTATATATATCTATTTTTAGTATAGCTAAAAGTCTCTTCTAATTATAAATATATAAAAAGAGGCTTACTAATAGAAATGTTAAATATATTATTTTTTTAACTTAATTTAGTAACTTTTAATTAGTTTTTCATTACAAAGATTAATAAAAAACATAAATCTCTATTCGAGTTAACTCTAGCTGTATTTTTAAAAATAGATTAATAGTTTTGTATATTTTAATACTTCTTAAGATTACTTTTTAGCTCATATATTTTAAACTAATTATAAGCTTTTTTATATCTACTAAAAATATCTTAAATATAATTCTATAATTTTATATTTAGTATTAATACTATATATTACTATTAATTATATTTATAGCTATTTTATTATTCTAACAGATAGTATAAATTATTAATCTATATTACTTTTTAATTTAATTGTTCGAATAAAAGAATATTATAAAAGCTTTTTTAAATAAGCGTTATATTAAAGAAACATTTTATAATGTATCTAAATACTTATTCATAATAGTTAAAATAAAGAGGATTTCTAAAATTATTATAAAAAAGCAATAAAGAATATCTTAGAAGAGATAATAATATAGATAAATTATTTTATTTTTTAATTTTAAATATAAAATAACATTTTTGATATAAGTTTTAATATATATTTTATATTATACTTATTTTAAGTCTTATATTCTCACTTTCTAAACGTTTTTAATTATATAATTATAATATTAAGATTTAAATAGCTAAAATAAAAATACTATAGATATATATTATCTAATTAATAACTGTAATAATTATATATATTTCATATATAAAAAGGTTTTATTAGCTAAATTATAATAATAATATATCTAAGATTTATTACTATATTTTTAAAAATGTATAAAAAAAGGTTATATTTAAAGAAAATTAAATTATATGTTTAGATTAAAACTATAATAACTACGTGTTAAATAAGGTGTTCTATATATGAAATATAGTTAAACTTATAAAACTAAGTCTTTTATATATTAAAATAACCTTTAGATATAATATTAATATAAAAACCTTTAATAGAAATAATATTTTCAAATATAAAGTTATTTAATATTTATCTATTTTAGCTTTTAAAGATCTTTCTAAGAATATAAGTTTTTTAACTTAAAATTATGATCTAAGTTATACCTATTTCTATAATATTTCTTAAGCTAAACCTTTTATAAAAGTTATTTAATAATAATAATTTATCATTAATTAAATATATTATATTACAGTTATTATAAACTGTATTATATAAAACGATATATAGTAAAGTCAAAGTATTAAGTAAATATATCTTTAATATAATTACTTTAAAAAAGCTTTATAAGTTAATTAATATAGCTATAATATTAAATAGAATTTTAATATTTAACCTCTAATTAAATCTATTATTTTAACTACTGTTTCTATTATAGTTTCTATATTATTAGCTTTTTTTCATTATGTAAACTGCGTCTTTTTACAATTAGTATTATTTATTTAACTTAAAATGTATCTTTTATATATAATTATAGTTTTAATATTTCATTATTAATTTTAATTAAATTTAACAAAGATTTCTTAAGCTTTATTATTATTTATGGAAATTTAATAGAGTTTACAGAACGTTTTATAAATATATTTTAATTATCTATATGTTTTCAAAGTCTAAAAATGCTTTTTTCAATATAAATAGTTATTAAGATATATATTAAAAAAGCTATTAAACTTTTTTTTTACAATAATAAAAAATATTTTTAATCTCTAAAAGCTTTTAATAAATGAACATTTATGAATAAAACCTAAAATAATAACTTTTATATTATTCTAAAATATATATAAAAAGCGTAAAATTAATATTTATCATTAACTAAATAAACCTAATATAAATTTAATTTAAAATAAGTTAATATTTAATTACTTTCAAGAAATTGTATAAAATAGATTCCTTTTAAATTTCTAAAATCTTAAATCTTATTATGTTTATATAAAAATAATATTACGCTATGTATTAAATAGAAAGATTAATATTAAAATTAATTTACTTTAAAAAATAAAAATGGTTTTCATAAATTATATTAATAATTATAAATATAATAAATATAAGCTATTTCTTAATTTTATGTATAAAAGCTTATAATATTATTTCTAATTAAGTTCAAAATTTAAAACTATTTTATTAATTTATATCTAAAAACTAAAACAATATATTAAAAACGTTTATTAATTCAAAAACATTCTTATATAATTTTTAATTATTATATTATAACTTAAATTAATGTCTTCATAAGTAATAATCTAAATTATCTATGGAGATGTTAAAAAAAGAGAATAATTTTATTATCTTATTAAAAATAATGTTTATTTCTTTTTTATTCTTTTAAATCTCTATAGTTAGATAAATACTTTTTAATATATTAATAATAATTTTGATGAGATTTTTAGCTCTTTTTAGATATATTTATACTTATTTCTTAAATTCTTTTTAATATTTTATATTTAGAAAAACTTAGTATTTAATAATAAGTTTAATAATTTTTTAGGTTTTAAATATTCCAAAAATGTTAATATAATTATATAAATCTAAATTGATATAATCTTAACAGCTTTATAAGTATATATAAAACTTAAAATAAATATATCATATGAGCTAATTATTTTTAAATATAAAAATATCTCTTATAAGAGGAATTTTATTATTAGTAGAAAATATAATAAATAATAATAATAAAGGAATTAATAAAATGATAAAAATAAGTTTCTTATATATAATTTATAATAGAGAAGTAATTTAAGTTATTAATAAAACTAAGCTCATAACTTTTATGAATTATAGGTATATAGGTTATAAAGAATAAAAGTATATTATAGGAGTAATTATTTAGAAAGGTGGTCTGTATTATAGGCTAATATCCACACGCGTAGCTTATGTAATACCGTATATCACGTGGTAGGCAGTGGGGCTGCAGCTCAGATTGAGGGTATCACAACAAGAGCCCAGTTGAAAATGCAGAACATGAGGAAGGTCTTCCAGCCGAGGTTCTGAACGGCATGTGGCGTGGCTTGCGAGAAGACGAAGTTGAACAGCCATTGCGTGGATGTTCCGATGGCGATGCCTGCTTCGCGGATACGGGATGGAAATATCTCGCCTATGTAAACCTGAAGTTGGTCGGTTAGTACTTCCTCTTCTCGGGATTGAGAGTATTGAGACTTACCCAAGGCGCTGGGCCCCACGAAATGTTGTAAGACATGGCTTCCAGGTAGATCATCGTCATTGATGCGATGGCAGTAGAAGTCAGACCCAGGTCAACGGACTTTGGTGGGTTGGTGGCTGTGAGACACGCGATGATGAGCATGTACGCTCCCATGAGGAAAGCACCGGCTAGGAGTGAGCCTCTGCGACCCATGCGCTCAACGAGGAAGAGGAGGTAGAAAAGACATGAAACTACTTTGACGACGCCAAAGAAGCCGGTAATCAGGAGGTTATCTTGGCCGGCGCCGACAGCGGCAAAGACCTGGGGTGCATCTGCAACATCGGTAAGTATCAAAGGAAGCACGAATCGAGAGAGGTTTTGGCTTTGGACAGAAGGAGCGAGGATGGCTTACAATGAGCCAAAGAGGTATTGCGGGTGAGTTGGACACCTAGCAAAGTCAGCTTCGAAGTGTAAGTACAACCCAAATCGGCGGTTTACGTACCAATCTGAAGAGCGATGATGAGGAGAATACGGTGACGGTTGGTTGGCTGAACCAATTCCCTCCATGTCAGACCCTCCTTCTGGCTTTCCTCCTCCTCGATGGTGGCGATGATCTCAGCGAACTCCTGCTGAACCTCAGGCGTGTTCTCGCCACCACGCACCCACACAAGGGATTGCAGGGCTTCGTCCCCCTGCCAGTCTTGGCCAGCCATCTCGCACTCTCTTTGCAGAGCAACATACCCAGGCCCGGAATCGCACCAGGTACAAGTTGGAGTCCGACGGGAATTTGCCATTGCTTCGTCGAAGGTTTGAGGTGCTTGCTAACCCCATAGTCGATCCAGTAACTCGTCATAACGCCCATTGTGAAGAAGAACTGGAACATGCTACCGAGCATGCCTCGAATGTTCTTGGGCGCCATCTCGGCCGAGTACATGGGAATGACAACGGTGGCCATGCCGACGCCGACGCCGCTGATGACTCGGGCTACGTAGAATGCGGCGAGTGAGTGGGTGTTGATCGTTTGGACCACAGCGCCGATGCAGAAAATTGTCGACGCGAGGATGATGGACCATCTTCGGCCGTACTTCGCGGTGAAGGGCCAGATGAAGAAACAGGAGAAGAAAGCTGGAAGGAACGGTTGTTAGGATTTTGTGTTACGGGATGCTCTTGTTGAGAGTAATTCACCACCTGCCTGCAGCAAGCTCGTAGAGTTAGAGCCGACATTTGCCTTCTGTGATGGGCCGTATCGAAAGTCGGTTTGAAACCCTTCAAAGGTGAGAATTCCGCCGATGATGCCAGTGTCGTATGCAAAGAGGAAGGAGCCTACGCAGCAAAGAGCTACGAGGTAGACGGCTCGGAACGTCCCAAGTGCCTTCGACATATCGAAACAGATAGGATACAAGCTTTGATGATGGATCTTCACCCAACAATTCCGAGGCACCGGCTGCCGTCCATATTAAGGGATTTCTTGCTTGAAATATTGACCCAAGTCGGAAATCCTGACTACCTTACTCTGTTCAGCACAGTCCAGCACGCCATACCGAGACGCCCAATGGCTGTATACTGCAGGATTCACGAGAACCGCAACATTCGGGCGATTGTTGAAGTCCTTCAAGCACGCAATGAGACCCTTGACCCCAAAACCAGGGCCTGCCATGCTCACCAACCAACTTGCCCCATTGTTGCCCCGGCTTGTATGCCGGATGTCGGTCGGAAGGCCCAATCTGGGCTGGTGCAATGTTCGGAGTTGCTCCACATTCCAGTTTGGGCGACCGGGCCGACTACCGAGACTCTCGGCCAGCTGCGGGGGATATCTACTGCGAAAGCTAGGAGAGCCGCCAATCCGCAGCCATTGACCTCTCAAATTGTCTGTTCCGGTGATGCTCATGCCGGATATCGCGCGGACTTCTGCTTCGAGGGAGTCGTTGGTTCACCTAAGGTACTCCAACAAGGGGCAGTGATGGAACTGTGATGCGCAGCTGTTGAGGGGCATCGTTGCAGCATGGAGCTGTCATGAGCTCTTATCGCAGCATTATCTTCCCAAGGTGTCGTATATGAGGTCGACGCGTTCTTTGAAAGATTTACGTGTTTTACTCAGATTCTTTCTGCCTGGCAACTCCCTCTTTCGACCACTCTTTCGACCACTCTTTCGACCACTCTTTCGACTCTTTCGTTGACTATCACTCAAGATGACGACCCAGAGGCCCAACATCATCTTCATAATGGCTGACGACCATGCTTCAAAGGCTATCAGTGCCTATGGAGCTGGTATCAATTACACGCCCAATATTGACCGCCTGGCAAGCGAGGGGATGAAGTTCAACCACTGCTACGTCACCAATTCCATCTGCACCCCGTCGCGAGCAGCTATCCTGACCGGCACTCACAACCACGTCAATGGCGTGATGACCCTAAACGACAGCATCAACAAGCATCTACCCAACGTTGCAAAGCACCTCCGAACAGGCGGTTACAACACGGCGATGGTGGGGAAATGGCACTTGGGTGAGGGCAAACAAAACGAACCCACAGGCTTGGACTACTGGTCCGTCCTCCCAAGGCAAGGTGACTACTGGGACCCAGAGTTCATCGAGCCGTCCGTCTGGCGAAAAGATCGAGGAGGGCTACGTCACAGACATCATCACAGACAAGTGCCTCGACTTCATCAACAAAACCAAAGACACCGACAAGCCCTTCTTCGTCATGTGCCACCACAAAGCCCCCCACCGCTCGTGGGAGTGCGACGACAAGCACAAGAACCTCTACACCGACCCGATCCGCGTCCCCGAGATCTACGACGACGACTACAAGAACCGCGCCAAGGCGGCGAAGATCGCCAAGATGCGCGTCGCCGAGGACCTGACGTACCAAGACCTGGGGCTCGTGCAGCCGGACGGGGGAAACAGGGTCGGCGAGCGCGTGGTGCAGGAGTCGAACTCTGCGCAGCGCAAGATCCCGACCGATGCCAAGAGGCTGATTGACAAGGAAGATGGGACGGTGTTCACGTTCAAGAACGGCGACGACCTTGCGCACTTCAGGTTCCAGCGGTACATGCAGCGCTACCTTCGCGTCATCCAGTCTGTGGACGACAATGTCGGCCGTATGCTGAACTACCTCGAAGAGAACGGGCTGGCTGATAACACGATTGTGATCTATACGTCGGATCAAGGGTTCTTCTTGGGTGAGCATGGGTGGTTTGATAAGCGCTTTATGTGCGAGGAGTCGTTCCAGATGCCGTTCCTTATTCGCTATCCCGCAGCAATTGCCAAGGGCGCAGTATGCGACGACATCATCTGCAATGTTGACTTTGCGCCGACATTCCTCGATTTTGCGAATCTGCCAGTGCCAAGCTACATGCAGGGCGTCTCGTTCCGGGAGCTGCTCAGTGGCAAGACGCCGACAGACTGGCGGCAGATTGCATACCACCGATACTGGATGCACAACGACATCATTCATCACGCCTATGCGCACTATGGTGTTCGAGACCAACGATACAAGCTCATTTACTGGTATAACGAGGCCCTGGACGTGGCGGGCGCCAGGCCAGGCGGCGAAAAGGATGAGGAATGGGAGTTGTTTGACTGCGAGAAGGACCCGTTGGAGCTATTCAATGTGTACCACGACCCAGCATATGCGGAAGTTGTGAAGCACATGACAGGACTGCTGGAGTTGAAGATGGTGCAGATCGGGGATGAACCCGTTCATCCAAGGCTTGGTGCGACGAGTGGGTCGGTTGAGCTCGCGAGTAAGTTATGAGACAACCTCGTAGGTCGCATCTGATGTTTCCATGGGCAGTCTGAATGAACCATGAAAAGTCTATTTTGATTATTAGCTAGGTGAATGTTCGTCCTTGGTTTTATTGTTCCTGTTCAGTTCAATGTGATGCTGCAACACTGATGAAGAAACACCCGCGATGTGGTTTTTCAGACCAGCGCAATTCCCCAGAAATTCACGCCGACATGGTGTTAATTGACCGGGGCACAGCTCCCGTAGACATTCTGCCATTGGCTCATGAAGCTCCGTCTTGGATGTCGTTACCCAACCCACTCCTCACGTCATGTAGACCTTACTTGAGTAGGCAAAGCGCGAGCTCTCCGCATGCCCAGAAAAGAAGAAAGGCCCCGCCATTGTCCAGGGGTCCTTCGGCACCGGGAGACGGGGACGTCATGTGGGAAGGCGCAAGAAGAACCCTTACCAACCGGATTCAATCATCTGCTGCGTAGCACGTTGAGCAGTTGTTCTTCAGACCTACGTCCCTAACTTTCACCGACCACCGCGCGGGCCCGATAGACTGGTTGAGTCGCGACAGGCATAACAACATGAGACGAGAGCTAAGACGATGAACCGGGATGCCACTGTTTCAATAAGAAGATGATGGGCTCGTTCGTTGGGTGTTTCCAGGCCAGACCAGCCACCGCACGTCAAACATGCTCACAATGCAGATGGCGAAAGGTAAGCGATACCAACAGCATGGCCCTCGCTCCATCTCCCGTCCCTAACCAGAGTCCTTTGGCTTAACTCGGTTCAGGTCCGATGCGATGCTGGTTCCTACCAGTGTTGCGATAACTGCTCACGCCTAGGGCTGAGTTGCTCTTTTTCAACAGCAGAGGAGGACGCCAACATAGCAATATTGGCTGCGCACCAGCTTGCTTCAAATAAACCACGGCGACTGCGAGGAACCCGGGCATGTCGGAGCTGTCGAGATAAAAAGTTCGCTGTTCCGGAACATCTCCGTCATGCACAAATTGCAAACGACACGGGCGAGAATGCACATATCCCAGCCCTGCGCGCAGTGTCCGGGCGCCGTCTCCGCAAAGCACGTCCACCGAGGGGGAGGACTCCCTTCACGGTGCCGAGATCGCCCAGCACATCCCCGCTTGTGTAGAGTCCTTCTTCGAGAAGGTTTACCCACTTCCATCCCATGCGTTTCTTCATCCGGAAACGACAATGGAGAGGTGCCGGGCTGGCAAGATCGACCCGGCCTTGGCGTATGCCATATGCGCCCTGGCAACGCTCCACTCGGCTTCGGACCTTCAAACCCGAGAGAGAGCCACTCCATGGGTTCAAACGGCCGAACAGAGGATATGACACCATCTGGAGTGTCCTACAATAGCACGTCCCCAGGCTCTTCTGCTCATCATCCATTATCAGATGGAGACTGGACGGTTCCAAAGGGCGTTTATGCTGACCGCTACGGCAGCGAGATTTGGTGCCGCCATGCGGTTAAATCATGAACGGCCTGATCTAGATCTTGTTGCTCAGGAGGTGCGACGTCGTATCATGTGGTCCCTCAAGATCACTGAAAGATACTTTTCGGCTGGGCTGCCGGAGTTTGAGGCTTGCCCGATTGAAACAATTTACTTACAGTTCCCATCAGCCGAGGAGGAGTTCTGTCCAACGTTTGAGCCAGGAGATGGCAGCTGCTACAGGCTGTATGTCAGGCTTGAGATTATCCGGAGAGACATCATGAAGTTGACGAGGGGCGTTGCACTCTGTGATCAGCCCTTCATGCCACTGGCAAAACTAATTGGGGACTTTGAGAGAGACTTGGCCGAAATCGGATCTCAGATGCCTGATGGCACGGAGTTCCCTCTGTCTCAACTTGAGGCCCACTTCAATGACCGATGGCTCAGACGACGACTCTTCATGCACGTCTCCTTCCACCAAGCGCACTGCGATCTTTACCGAATCTTGCTTTCTGGCTACCCTGAAGCAGCGCCTCGGGTGGTCCTCGATGCTATCGATGAAGGCTACGTAACGGCTGCATACCACAATTGCCTCAAGCACTCCACATCTATCAGTCAGATTTTGACCAACCTAAGATCAACACAGCCCCAGCCATCTGCTTCTTGAGTTTGATACCGCAATATGTGCATATCATGCTACAAGGCTTGTGCTGTTCATATCTCGCTCTGGGAGGTCGCAAGATTTGCCATCTGCTGAATTTGCTCAGAGTCGCGCAGCTTTGTGCTTGGCTGCGCTGAAGCGATTTTTCCCGGCATCCGCTTTGGTCAAGCCCATAATCAACGACATGGAGCGCTTGACCCAAGGACATGCGCCGCAGGAAACAGGGATCGGTGGGCTTTCCTCGCCAGAGTTTCAAGAAGGGAGAAGGAACTTGGAGCAACAGCTCTCCACAGCCGCTAAAGCCAGACAGAGGCTCGCCATACACAGTTTGTTGAGACAAGCCGACTTTACCGACGAAGATGACGGGGAACAGTCGTCTTCAATGACAGCAACCGGACTATGCCCCGTCATGACAAGACGGACGCCGTGAGACCTCGTCTAAAACAAGCCTCTGTCAGCTCAAAGTTTAATTAATACGTGAGGGCTCAAGTTTTCTTCAGCTCGGAAAGTGGGTTGAGTAATCGGTAGCTCCTAGGTAGCATCATGAAACTATTAGATTGGTGGAGTAGGCGTTGTTTTAGTCGCGAGGCCAGAAGTCTGGTTGGCCTGGAAAGTTGCATCAACCTCTCTTATCCGTAATACAAGGGATGATCCGATAGGTAATAGGTGCAAGGGCTTACACGAGAACAAAGCTTATCAGTTACGGCCCAACAGGAACCTGCGGCCCGTTTGGATGGCGTGGCCTGTTGTCGCAAATAGAGAGACTTGACACGCGCTTGCGCGCGCGTTAGGGCGCAGAATGGCATTTCCAGCATATCAGCAGTCGCTTATTCCCAAGAGTGCAGTTCATGATCTCGAAATAAACTTTCGCATCCCCCGCAGGACACTTATTTATTCCGTACTTCGCCTTGTAGGGCCCCTCATGTCTGCGACTGCTCTGCGTTTCAGCGCGCCTCACGGCGTGCCCGCCCTGTTGGTACCCTAGAGGCCTCAACTGTCAGATGCCGTCTCAACATCCCTGCCAACTGACTCGAAGGCGTAACTATCATGGTGATACTGCCGGTGGGAGGACTTGTAAGTGAGCAAGCTCAAGAGGATAAATATCTCTTGATTCTCTGGGAATAATCACGCAATCAGTCCAAATCAGGTTGCAATCATTCAGTCTTCTCTACAACATCTTAACTAGTACATTTATAAACGACTTGCCGGTCAAAGTCTCATTATTAAAATCATTCAAAATGAAGTTCTACTCCGTCCTCCTCTTCGTCGCCTCCGTCGCTGCTGTCGCCCTCGACACCGACGTTCCTCCCGAGCTTCACCAGCCCGGCCGCCGCGGCGTTGACTGCGGAGCTTGTGCTCGCCTCAACTTCTGCCCCGGCAAGCCCAACAACAACGTCGAGTGCGAGCTCGACGGCTGCTGCAAGAAGTGAATTACTTCAGCAGATTTTCGAGTCACAAAGCTACCGGTAAGCATTCGAAACTATGACGGTGACTCACTGGAGCTGTTCACTAACTCACCTTAGAGACATGCACACCTGATACCCTAGACCAATGGAAGCTACTGTGGTCGAGAACAACTTGGGAGCGAGAGGCCCAGAATGGTTCTGAATCTACGTCGACTTAGGAACATGATATTGCAATAAGATACCAAATTTCTCTCCCAAAGGACTTGCTCAATTGTTCTTGCTTTAAGCTGTGACTCGATATAATCCCACATCAATGCTAGTATGCGCCATAACAGAACTTTGTTCCAGCGCCTGAGCAATTTCGAAAGAATGAATATTAGGATACGTATTGTGATGAATTACGAAACTAGGCCTCATTCTGTGAGTCTTGTTGAGATGTATGATTGATGACACAAGAGCGCCGTTGCGTTACCTGTCAGTTACACCAGAGTTGCGTTCAGGCTTTGCAGATCCTCAGTCCTGGAGCTGCTCCCCACCCAGAAATTGTAAAGTCCTGCCTCAACCTCCCACTCTCCATCGACGAAATAGCCGAGTTCGTTGTACGGGACTAACAGTGTGACTTCTTTCGACTCGCCTGCTTCAATTCCAATTTTGTGAAAGCGAATGAGTTTCATAACTGGAAACTCGATCTGGGTATATTCCGGCCGGTAGTAGAGTTGAACAACCTCTTGACCGAAAACACTGCCAGTATTGGTCACATCTACTTTGATGGTCACCAGGATGTTTTGGTCACACACAGCGGAAACGCTGCTGTTGCTGGTAGATTGGCATGTCAGAGATGGCGACGAGATGTGATGTTGAAACTCGTATAGCTCAGTCCGAAACCAAATCTAATGGGAGCATAGCGTGCTAATTCCGGGAGATGCCAGTCGTATTGTGTCGCAGTACCGAAGCCTCCTTCGTCGTCCGACGGGAAGTAATCATAGGCAACTGGAAACGCGCCCTCTGCTTCGGGAAATGTAATTGTCAGCTTCCCACTGGGGTTGAAATCCCCGAAGAGAATCTCAAACAAGGCATCAGCCGTGTATTCTCCAGCGAGCCAGGTGTGAAAAATCGCCTTGGATCTCTTAGTTGACTCGTTCAACAGGAATGTCTGTCCTCCACTGAGGACCAATATTGTTGGCACGCCCGCATCAAGGACGGAATCCAAGATATCTTGCTGCAAACCCGGAAACCCTAGATCAGGGTGACTAAAACCTTCACCGTCGGTTCGATGCAACGACTCATATGATGTATCGAATGATCCCCAGCCAGATCCGAGAACGACCACGGCGAGTCCGATCTCCTTCGCGGTGGCGACGGCTGCATCAATGCCAGAGCTATCGTTCGCGCTGAGAATATCGACGCCAGCCACATACTTGACATTCTCGACCCCAAGCTCCCGCTCAAGGCTTGTTCGAAATGTGTCACCGTAAGATGAATCCGATGCATTGTTGGCGGCGTACTGGCCGGTGTTCAGAATGTCCGCATAAGGCCCTAGAAGTGCGACGCGGGGAACATTGATTCTTGTCAAGGGCAAGGTTCCGTCGTTTTGGAGCAGAACGATAGCTTCTCTGGAAATGTTCCGGTTGATTTCGAGGTGTCTTTCGTTCCGAAGGGTAGCGTTCATGTTTTCGATGGAGGGTAGAGGAAGATCGAAAGTTCCAGTTGCGAACTTGATCTGCAGGATTGCGTGCACTGCCTCGTCGATGAGCCCCGCGATCTCCGTGTTATTTATCGAATCGATGAGTGTTGGGAAGGCGGATGGTGGTCGCGGAGATAGCTCATGCTCCAACCCACCGCGAAGGGCTTTCAAGCCAGCATCGGCATACGACTTGGCCACCTTCGACTGGGTGTACATGTTTCTAATCGAGCCGGCATCGGACATAATCAGTCCCTTGAAACCCAGAAAGTCCCTCAAAATGTTCTTGTTGAGATACTTATTCCTGGACATGGGTGTCTGATCCACGCTTGCATATGAGACCATGAGAGATAGGGGCTGGCCTCTCTGATAGCCTTGACGTATGGGGCCCCGATGTCGTTGAGAATGTGGTTAAGTCCGCCCTGCATGCTAGCTGTGTTGACGCCACCACTGCTCGAGCCATAGACCTAGTGCTTGATCGTAGTGGCCACCTTGACAAAGCCGCTTTCGTCTTTCTCTTGCATGGTGTTGATGTAGTGAGATGCAAACTCGCCAACGAGGTATGTATCTTCTCCGAACCTTGTGTCATAGTTGGTCAGTCGAATGAGGCCAATCATGAGCATGGGCTTGGATCTTACATCTCGCCATTCCGACCATTTCTCGGGTCCTTGGCCAAGTCAACCTCGGGCGAAAGTACCCAGTGGGTCCCCACCGCCATGTTCTCGTCACGAATCGCAGCGATAGCTTGCTCGTAGAGTGGAATATTCCACATTGCGCCCATGGAGATGGCCCCTGGGAAGATGGTGGCGCCTGAAATCATCAGGCCATTGACGGAATCGGCGATTGTGATGTAAGGAATGCCGAGACGGGTGTTGTCAATTTGTTCGGTCCGTACCTTGTTCGCGATTGGTAGCAGCTCATGGGCATAGTTCGTAGGGGCACCGAAACCTGCGATCGTCTTAGCTCCCAAGCAAATCATTGCAGTTACTAAACTTACCAATTTGACCATTTTGTGTCTTTCGAATCTCCTCAAAAGAGGTCTCATTGTAACACAGTGCACCGTTGACCCTTTCAGCAAGCCGACGGATGCCGCCCAACTGGCCAACCTTCTCCTCCCAAGTCATCAACTTAAGGAGGTCGTCGGCTCTCTCTTTTGGAGACCGTGATGCATCTTGATATGCCGACCCGTTGAATTGGGATGCCGTAGACGCAAGTGCTGTGATCTGAAACAAAGAGATGGCGAAAAGAGTGGCCAAAACTTTCGCCATCTTGAATGTGAGGTCCGCCTGATGATCAAGGTAGATGAAAACACGATCTCATTCCGTACTTTGGCCTGCTGTTTATATCGCGAGAAACTACATGATGGAAGCACGTCATTTGATGAGTCCCACGTTGGACCATCAAGCCGGTGACAAGAGCGCCTGGCTCCATGCGTTCGGCAAGGAAGCCCGGAACGGGTGACCCACTTAGACACCCGGGCCTCCGGTCTTCGAGCCGGATGTCGGTCGGAAGTCCCGAACAGGAAGGGTGCAGAGGAACACATCCAGGCACCCCCGCCTCCTACCACGGCGCTAAAATTGCGTCATCGCAGCTGGCGGTGTATCGGCTTTCACACCTCGGTGACGGCTTTTATGACTGTCAGCTGACCTTGTATGCAGAGTTTGATGCTGCTCAACACAATGCATGTTATTAGGCACGAGCATCGCAGTTCGAGATGGCCTGTAGACGCTTCAAACTCCACTGATTCACTGTCGGCACTTTTGCGATTGTTGCGCTACCAGTGTCACCTGTAAGCAGTAGTAGCGGCTCTATCTCGCGGCTTTCATGTACTTCATGGCCACGGCAACGCCCGAGCACCGTAGCGAGCATGAGGCCGAGAAATCATCCTCAACATGCCGACTGGCGAGGAGCCCTCGCATCATGACATACTCCGACGCCTGGAGTCGACTTGATGAGGGCGGTTTCAGTAGATAAAGACAACCAAACATTCAACCTCCCGAGGGGCGAAGAAGCCATTTTGCGGCTTGAAGTAAGGGGCATGACACGATTTCATACACAAGGTTCTAAGTAGGACTTCTATCTGCAGCCATTGGCAGTAGGACGATATATCAGCGGAAAAATACTCGACAGCGGTGAGAGATGAGCCGAAGATGGTGAGGTCCTCCCTGCTCGTCTTTGGCGGAATAATTGTTGCTTGGTGAACTATATGAAGCCGAGATATTGACCACTCATCTAGATCAATCAACTGACTCAAATCATTGCAACTCACTGTCCAGCCAAGCTTCGCTTCCCTGTACTTATCCGCTCATCTGATATTTGTGGACACTGCAGGACGATACAAACATCCAAGAAACACAAGAATGCGGTAATTGGTGTTGTAAAACCCCGATCTCCTAGCGATTGGATCATATCGACCGACTAATAGTACGTAGCTGAGTCGTTGACATCATCTGAAGCAGAAAACGAGGGCTGCTGCGCAGCTTGCATATTTGAGGTTGCTACCGAACTCGGGTATCTCGTTTGATGGAACGGCGTGCCAACATGCTGGCGATCTCCTACTCGGTGCCATTTCCGTGTGGTCATTCGGTAAGCTGGCGATTCATCTCATTCGTGCGAAATCCAAGTGGTGACGATCTCCGCCTCACTTGGGCAAGGTGTGGAGAACAGTTAAGCTGATCGGCGCATGGAAGCCTCGGTGCTCATGACAGCAAGTCTGGAACTTGGTGTCAAGTCAACACTTGGGATGCGTGGTAAGATTAGGCCAGGATCGGGCGGCAGCAGTTTGCAGCTTTGGAGATGGAAATTGGTGAGAGTCTGCCATTCACCAGTCTCAATTGTGTACCATCCTGAGAGGCGGCCGATCTTGTGCGAGTGAGGGAGCCTACCCTACATGTAGAGCTACCGTGTTGAAATCATTACCGTACTATTATCACGGTCTCCTTTCAAAGCCTGGCATACGCTCGGTTATTGTCTCTCCTTTTCCCTCAAATAGAAGAGATTCCCGCCTCTTGTGGAGTTTCGGTCTATTCTCTGGTTTGAATACGAGCTGCTAGGAGTTTCAGGTACTAATCTCCTGCGTTGTATCCGTAGCCATGAAAAAGCTGCCAAGGCTGGATCGATATAAAGCTCTTGGCGTAATTGTTTTGGTTGGGCCGACGGGAGATCACAAAGGCCGCATCAGGCGGGCGAAGCAGAGAGGCGCAGAAGAGGAGTCGAGCTGGTGAAAGATGAGAGGTGAGAAACAGATGTGAGAGGGGCAGGTGCGCAGAAAACTTGCGGGTGATTGGCAAGAGACTTTGCCAATGCAGAATGCCAATATTCGCAGTCTTGGCGGCCAATCCCCCTTTTCATAGTGCTACACGCCAAGACCACACTTCTCGCTCACTCACTTTGTTTCTCACTCCATCGGTCGCAATCTCACTCTCTGGTTTTTGAAAATTCGAATTGACAACATCCAAGCTTTCGATGTCAGGGAAGACGGTCGTAGAGATGTCGTTGCATATTCTTAAGACAATTGGCTTGTATTTAGGTGAGAAGGGTTGGCAGCCGTATTGCGTCTCACTGGTTAAGGAACAGGGGTCTGCCCCCTCCTCAAGACCACAGCACGCAACACCCATGTCCTCCCCCATCCGATCAGCAACACATCTGCTCAGATAGGCGACGGCTCCCGCTGTAGCTGCACGGCGACACTCTCATTCAAGTTCTTCCTCCAACAGCCAGCGCATGTTCATTTGGATGAGGCCTTGGCATTCATCTATCTCTGAGATGCCGCGCGCGCTACCGCACTTCCAAACGCTTGAAACATGCACGCTTGGCAACTCTAGCGCAGCGTCACATCATCGCGTGCTGGGCAGCGGTACTGCCCATTTTGGGGGCTGGCTGGTTCGTGGTTTCGACGATGAGTGGGTAGTCGCTAGTCATCCGATGAGCCTATTCCCAACCCCTGTAACCTTCTTCTTCACTTCGTCTGTTCTTTCCAGCATCCCAGTTGACAACGTCCCAGTACCACAGCTACATTCATGACATACCGAATCGCAAACGAGCTCCGAACTCCACACAGCAGGCTGGCTACTGCCGGACCCCGTCCCGTTCTATTTGTCTCCTACACTCTTTAGGAAGTCAAGCCATGCCCAGCCCACTGGTTCTGGCAAACATGCCTGCCGTAAGGGACCAGAAAGTGAACCTCCTTACTCGCGCCGTTCATTTCAATGTGACGGTCTTGTGTGAGGCCAATCAGGTCTGATGGCGGGCGGTCACGGCCAGCTCTCTGTCCACGGCCTTTTCGTCCCGAGATTCCCAACATCCTGGCGTTCCTCTGAGGCTACCCTGGTCTTTGCTGACGGGGAAATAATCAAGGGAGTCGATGGAGCTGCGGAGTGCATGCGATAGGTTGAGGTGGCTCTGGAAATCAACGTGGGTTGACCTCGTTTGCCGCTTCCAGGAATCAGGAAATACCCCATCTTGACTAGAAGCCAAGATTCCGGATCTTCGATCTTTATATATAAGACCTCAGTTATCGTCCCAAGTTTCTGCCCATAGCTTCTCTTGCTCCTCATTCGCGCCTTCTTCAGTCTTTCATTCTACCTTCAGTTCATCCCATTATTCTGACCAACGTCCAGTGCTAGTCACTCGGTTCATACTATCTTGCCACCCTTTCTTATTTCAACCTAAACCAAACAACCCCGTACAAACATCAAGATGAAGTTCTCCGCCGTTACTCTCATGGCTGTCCTGGCCGCGGCTTCGCCTACCAACATCCTCAGTGCTCGCAACGAGCTTGCTCGCCGCCAGGCCGCCGAGGCTTGCAACATCGGCTACTGCACGGAGAACGGAGGTACCACTGGTGGTGCCGGTGGTGACACCGTTACCGTCAAGTCCGCCGACGAGCTCGTCGCTGCTGCCAAGAAGGAGGGCCCCCTGACCATCATCGTCTCCGGTGCCATCTCCGGCAGCGCTAAGGTCCGTGTCTCCGCTGACAAGACCATCATTGGAGAGAAGGGCAGCTGTAAGTGGCATACTGTATCAAATTAAGTAGATTGGTTGAGATTAACTGACTGTTTGCAGCCCTGACTGGCGTCGGTCTGTACATTCGCCAGGTCAAGAACGTCATCGTCCGCAACATGAAGATCGGCGGTGTCAAGGCCACTAACGGTGATGCCATCGGCATTGACGAGTCCACCAACGTCTGGGTTGACCACTGCGACCTTTCCGGTGATCTCTCCGGAGGCAAGGACGATCTCGACGGTCTCCTCGACGTTTCCCACGGTGCCGACTGGATCACCGTCTCCAACGTCTACTTCCACGACCACGTA